TACATCTTATGGCTGGGTGTGAGCCAGCGCATTTAAAACAAGTGTGCTTAAACTCACAGCCCGAACATTCCTCGCCTTTGTGAAATCGAAAACAATGGCCGCGAGGTATACTAAGAAAAGGCAATTTCGTAGTAGTATTAGTGACAGCGCGTTGCCCAGGGCCGACTGATGTATTGGTAGGATACAATTCCCAATGCACATTGGCCCAAGGCACCGCACTGCGTTCTTTCTGTCTCAGAAAACGAAAATTTTCATCGTAAAAACGCCAATTATGGCCTCGATCTGCTAGGTCCTGCACAATATCGCCGTACTTCATGAGTGCGGGGGACTCATGAGGATATTTTTGTGTATACCACCCGACAAAAATTCGGAAAGCGCTCATCCAGGTCGCGATATGGGCGACCTTTTGTGGTTTGTGGACAGGCTCAAACGAAAGAGAGGGATGAAGACCATCATTAGAGGTCTTTACACTCAATTGAAATTTGGTGTCGACCGCCCCGGGATTGCTCAACAAAGACCCAAAATCAATATATTCGTCGTTCCAAATTTTGTTTTTTAATTTTGTTGTGATCCTGGAGTCAAGAGGCAAATGGATCGATTCATAGGGTTGACTTGGCATCGCAAAATAAGAGGAAGGCTCACCTGCAACGGCGGAATGGACGGACTGTAAAGCTTCTTCCACAATACCAGAAACAATGGCGGGTTGTTCGGCCGAGGTGGATGCTCCCATCGCGACAACTGGGGCCTCAACAACAGCGTCCGAAAGCTCCGCTTGATGGTGTGGTGTAAGTCGCCGAGTAACTTCAGCAGTAACTGTTGACACGATCTGCTGAAGAAGCTGCGGGGAGATGGTACTAGCATCAGGCGTTGCCGAGGTACTGGCGACGTTGACGGGTTCGTGTACGGTTGAGCTCGTTGTTGCACCAGCGGACGGAGAAGCAATGGTTGGCTCTGAGGCAATGGTCGAACTACGAGTCTGCACACGAGGTCGCTGTGACGGCGATGGATTGGCCGGAGATTTCGACGACTTGCGTTTCGAACTCTTAGAACCTTTAGGTGGCATAATGAACTGAAAGAGAAATTACTGCAAAATGGATTAGAAGTTAGTTGCCCCTCTGAAAGCAGATTGTGTAAGGAACGCGAACGCGATCGATAAATAGGAGAATTTTAACTGACTGGGTCAAGCTTGGCCACACTAAAACGGTGACCGCACCACTTGCCCAAAACGCCAGATGGAAAAAAGGAGGGCGAAGCCTCGACTTACAGTGCATGAAAACATTTTCATTAAATGAGGGCGAAGCCTCTAACAAAATCTCGACGAAGCGAGAGGTTTTGAAATAATTAAACGAGGGCGAAGCCTCTGACAAATTCTCGACGAAGCGAGAGGTTTTAAAATAAAAAATTTTTAGAGGGCGAAGCCTCAACAGGGATCGCAGCGAAGTGCGATCCGTATAACAACAAATATTGAGGGCGAAGCCTCGACTCACCACGAAGGGTGAGATAGTTGTATTTTAACATAAACAAGTACTGGTATATAAATGCGAATAAGAAAATCAAATAAAAATGCGACCACCTGTGTGCTAAGCACAGCGTGAAAGAAACTGAATGGCCTTGAGGATGGCGCCCCGATAACTTCTATACAAAGTATATTGAGCTCTGCGGGTGTAATGGACGCCATCAGGCAGAAAAGGCGAAATGGTTGGCTGAGTAAAGCCTTTATGTCTCCAACAGAAGACATTGTGCTTATCTTCTAACACAACCGTAAGGTACTGGCTCAAGATCGCAACCTTCTCATTAAATTTTGGACAAGAGGCCCGATTGGTTACCAAACACACGCCGACAACTCTGACGGATGGAACCCCGAGCAACATGCGCACTAGATCGTCAATTCTCGATCCCACAGTTTCGGGTTTTCCCAAGGTTAAGTCATTTGTCCCAACCTCTAAAATAACAATGTTGGGCTGACACTGGGTAACCTTGTTGAAATCAAATTTAACTAATTTGTCAACAGTCCTCCCCCCAACGCCATGCAGTTTGATAGCTACATTGTGCATGTTAAAATTTAGGGCAGCGCGAACATCGAATTTGGATCTTAAATCCCGATGCATGCACTTCACAAAGGAATGACCAAATACCAGTACCTTTGGGTTGGATGAAGCCATAATAGAAGACAATAGGTGAAAGAATGATTGTGTAAAAAAGAAATGTATCGCTAACCTGAAAATAGGTCCAAAATGACGTTGAAGATAAATTCTGAGTTCTTCACTTGACCACTGATATTGGAGACTTGCAAAATATCTAAGTTATCTTGGTTTAATACCAAGAGATCGACCTTGATCTTGGCCCAGCTGGTACGTAGTTTCAAGTGCTCTAAATTTCCTCCCTCTTCAACAGGCGCGCCAGGGATTAACATTAAATATAATTAAATTGTTACTCACTTATCTAATTAGTTCAGGTGTGACATAAAAATCCATATTTCGTGGGAAATATTTCTATTTTTGCTCTTAAATATTAATACTCAGGACTCCCCCTGTCTGAGCTGGTGCTTCATGAATATTTTTTGCCAACTCTAATTTCTAATTTTATATTTGATTTTTAACCATTAACCTGCAATGTTTCCAAATATACAGTACCTTATTTTATTGTTTTATTCTGTCTCATGCCAGACAATTTTGATTTTATTTGCCAGGGGATCTTATGCCAGGTAATATTACCTATCAATGGCCAATGGGAGCCAGGTCCAGCTGTGTAGTGTATACTGTATATCATCTTACACAGAGTATTAATAAAGCAATTCCACCGTTCAGTATTAATCAATATAAAAACATTACCGTTTGCCATTGAAATTTAATAAAATATTGTTGTCTGTGTTCTTGTGCATATTAATTTGAATAGAATGCACAAAATCCTCTAATCCTAAATGTATATGATATAGTCGAGGTTGGGCTTTGAACAGCCATTTCCGATTTTCCAACTCGGGTTCTAAAATACTTGTCCTAAGCTTATAATTGAAATGAAAACAGTAAACGCAAGATAAAATAGTCAGACAAAGCTGCTTGTATATCAAAACGTGCGCAAGTTTTCTTTATAACTGAGACTGCAAATTCACAATGTAGAGCATAGCCTCAGCGTCAATGTTAAAGCGGTGGCGGTCATATTATATGACAATCACAGACAACAATCATTACATTTTATATAATACCTTAATAAATTCTAATCGTTTAATTGGCTGTTTATGGTCACGTGATATCGAATAGAAAATTCCATTTCCCAAGAGTGCAATGGAACACGTTCCATTGCACTCTCCGCGAGTGCAATGGAATAAAACGTATAGTACAATTGCACTCTTTGTGTTTTCGATAAATCGCATCCCTCAAAATGCTTCTCATACGAATCTATTAGTCTATTTAAACTATTTTGGTATTATATAAAACAAATAATGAATGTTTATTCGTGCAATGGTAAGAATATTCTCATTCGGTGAAAGATGGAATGTTCCATCTTTCACTTCATGAAAATATTCTTACCTTTGCACTCATAAACATTCATTATTTGTATAATAATTCTAGCATTATTATAATAACTCACCTTATTCCTTTCGACGTACGTTTATCACATCTTTGAAGTTACAAGCGAACTAGTATAAACCACTTCGTCTACTTCTCTATCAAAGCGGAATTCTTAGTATTGACGCTGTGAACCACACGTTTTGAATTGCATAATTTGGCGGCGTTGTCATTCAAATACAAACTGCAACCATGCTCGCTTCTCCTCACCATAGGCGTACCGGGCGGGGGGGGGGGTAGCCCCAGTTTCAGGCAGTCGGTAATATTCGATCAACAGATGAGGCCACACGGTTTGCAATAAAAAATGGGACAAATTCTGTCAATTTTGATAAAAATCAAAGTCAATTTTTGGCAAATTTTGCGATTTTTCGAAATTTGTGTTATGTTCGAAGTGGTTGTCGAGTGGAGGTCGCCAAAATAATTTTCCGGAAAAAAAATTTTGGTACTAGTCGGGCAGAATCCCGAAAAGTTGGGCAATTTTCTTTCCGGCCCCCTAATTTTTTTCTTCCGGTACGCCCATGCTCCTCACTCTGTTTTAAAGCCATCTTTATTTGTTGAAATATGAAAATACTAAAGCCATTTTAATCAGTCTGTATCGCTTCCATCGCACTGACACATGAAAGGAACCCCTCGCATCAAAATTGCACATATATTCCCATACAAACGACCACAAACTAATGCCACTGTCGATTGCAAGAAGAAGGTATTAGATTTCACAGCGGCACTCTCCTCATTGGTTGAAAACTCGAAAGCTCGATCATGCGGCGCGCGAATATTCAAATATTTTGGCTTCATGGTGTGTTACTGTGTTATGTTATAATATTTGAAGTGCAATATTTTGACGTCCAATTTTGATTGCTTGTGCTGCTCGCATACTTTTAACTTTCAGTTTCCAATCTGCATGAAATGCATAACAACACACGTGACACATGACTATTTCTGTTATTATGTGCAGTGAACACTTGTGAATTCAAATGAGTTTTCTTTGTGAAATGGTTAATCAGCCAGTAAATAATATTTGATTGTTTCACACTCCCCAGATGACAGATATAAAAATTGCCCAAATTTTGCATCTTGACTTTGGAACTTTTTTGAATTAAAATGTACTCTAGTTTATATTCATTTACAATTACGAACCAGAAAATTGTGTTAGTCTTATTTTACCTGTAATCGGGCGAGCCCTTAGCCTGCGATTAGGCTTGCTACTATAAAGCGTGTTTTATAAAAGTGTGTTAGTTTAAGATGTGTGTTTTGGAAAGGTGTGTTTGTTGGTTAAGTGTGTTTATTCTGTGCAGTGTGTTTTTCTATTAAAGTGTGTTTATCTTTAAACTTGGGTTAATTAACACACGTTTCATAGGAAGGGTGTGCTAACTAACACGGTAGAAAAGGTGTGTTTTTCTGGAAGTGTGTTATCTAACACATTCACCTCCATCGCTGTGTGTTAAGTACTGTACACTGTGTGTTATATAACGCACATGTGTGTGTTATTTAACTCACAAAGGTGTGTTATGTCGAAATCGCAAGAGTAAAATGTGTTGTATAACACACTTAACGTGCTATATAACACATTTTTGTGTGTTTTGCAACACACCTATTTTTAAAAGTGCACATACAACATTGCCAGACTAATAGCTGGCTTTACGCATTGAAGGACTAACCTCCAAAATGCGAATAACATCATAACTTAACACGTCGTTCTCAGCTTGACCTTGTAGCTCAGAAGGTAGAGCATCGTTCTAGAAATGCGAAGGTCGCGGGTTCGAATCCCAGCCGCGGTCAAGTAGAATTTTCTGCTTGCCCGGTTTGGTATACACTCGTTTGAAAACAACTCATAAACCGCTACATATATATATATATATATATATATATATATATATATATATATATATATATATATATATATATATATATATATATACATACATATATATACATATATATATATACATATATTATTATAGTACTGAGTGCTTAGCATTTGAGGTGTGCTTCTCTTCATGAGGTGTGCTTGCACCTGAGTTAGGCCTAAATGTTGCATTGCAATGCCCATAAACAATCATCATGTATTCCTCAGTGTATGTCCTTCGTCATAGTAATACGCACCAGTATACGCCTTTTAGACACCACAACTGATCTCACTGAACAATACATGGCTGATGCAAGGATATACATTAAACAGAATGGTGTTTCCAACATTAAAGAATTTCTCGAGAAAAAACTCGAGGGATCGAAAGATGTGAAAATTCGGTTCGCCATAACAGGAAATGGTGGAACAGGGAAATCGGCATTTATCAACGCAATAAGAGGGTAACACATTTTAATTTCTTCTTTTTGGAAAACACTGTTAGGCTGTTTTTCTTTCCGAGGATTGACTGCATGTGCGAAGGTTATAGGTACCTGAATTAAACTATATGTAAAACAGTTATTTTAAATCAATGACCTATAATAAATAAAATGAGTCCAAAGACAAGAATAACATTCTAATCACTTGTAAGCTGTTTTTAATAACGTAAAATTTCACATACCACAAATATACCTATAATTTTAACAAACTTCGACCCCCCTGCTTCCTTTTCAACGTTGCGTTCTATCTTACTTTGATACCTGTATAACCCCTACTCCCTTCGTGCACAAGTTTATAAAAATTGTTTGTTCAGTTACCAAGGATATACAACATATCTTATTGGATTCTTCTGAGCCCACTATTGCGAAATATTAAGTCGAGACTTCAATTTTGAGCGAGACCGAAGGTCGAGTCTAATATTGAAGTCGAGACTTAATATTTTGCCATACTTGGCGAAGATGAATCCAATAAGAGTTTTATTATAACGAACAAAACAATTCTATAACAAAAATTTGTCAATAAGCGATGAAGTAATATACAGCGAGAATAATACAGCGATAACATTTAGTACATTACTACGTATATCGGCGGCGAATTTTTAAATAACTAAAGGGAGGGGGGTGAATAGGGGTATACAAATCCGCCGATCCGCCCAAATTTGAAGCAAAACCCGCGATCCGACAATGGTCTTGTCTAAATATGGATCCGCTAAAAGCCCTACTATGAAGTCACAATCCAGGATCCGAACTAAATTGCAAGCTAAATCCACAATCCGAGCCAAAATATTAGATATAAATCCGGAATCCGCTGTATTAATAAGATCTGCAAATCCGTGTAATATATTCGCCAGATCCGAAATCCGAACATTTTTTTCTGTGAAATCTGACGATCCGAAAACCTATTCACCCCCCCCCCTAGACAAAAAGTTAATAAAATTGTTTTTACAAATATGTGTGTATTTATATAAACTCAATTGCATGTATGTTTAAAGGAAACTTGACCTAAGTTTACGAAAAAAATAATATTACTAACCTCGAGGCTGTTGCAAACAAATGAATTTCGCGAAGACAAGTTTTCCCGCGCTTTTATAATTTTAAACAAAACTGGAAGAAAAACTGTATTAATGCCCCAAATTCTTTACATTATTCTGCCATATCGCTTGTTGTATGTTTAAAATTGACAAAACATCTGAAAAGGGTTGAAAAGGCATGAAAAAAGCCACGATTCGCAACTATCGAATAGTTTCCAGTCCAATATCGTAAAATATTGGATCGGCAAGTGACCCTCTCAACGATTACCGATTGGTTAAGTGCGCGTGAGTGTATAATAGAGAGCTTTAGATCTACGACGCGGCCGGCTCAACAACGCGGTCTGAATTTCAGCTCAAGAATGAGTGCTAAGCAATTTTATTACTGTAATAAATGTTTGAAGTTTTTTCAAATAACATTACAAACTGCTAAGTTCGACTAAAGCGATGCTATGTTTGCTGTAATTTCGACTTTGAGTAATACCTCTTGGGATGCAATAAGCTTTCACGTTGCATGAAAGACGTGATAATGCTTACTTTAAAGTTGTGCTGAGAATGGCAAAGCCGTTGAGAATACCCTTGAGACCACAAATTATTCATAGTTTTTGTCTGGCATGACAATTTCTTTTTTTCGCAAGCGCGTCGTTGAGCCGGCCGCATCGTAGATCTTAAGTTCGCTAATAATAAAACTTAACTCTGTATGTAAAAATATTGTGCACAAAACATTGCAAAATTAAATAATTTTCAACATATACGGTCATGCTTCAATTTCTTGTATAGACTTAGAGATGATGATGGTGGTGCGGCAGAAGTAGGTGTGACTGAAACAACGACAAAGCCGACGGAATACCAACATCCTGACAACCCAATGATTAGTTTCCTAGATTTACCTGGGATCGGTACACCGAACTTTCCAGATCTTCGAACCTACTGTGAAAAAGTTTCCTTTGAAGATTACGATACCTTCCTCATTTTCACTAAAGGGCGATTTACAAAAAATGACTTGGACCTGGCAAAGAAAGTGAAATCCATTGGAAAGTCTTTTTTTCTTGTTCGTGCGCACATCGACGAAGACTGCAATAGAAGATCTACTAACGAGTCAGAAATTTTGAAAGAGATTAGAGAAAATTGCGTGAAAAATGTGAAAGCTTTGATATCCAGTGAGGACGAAATCTTCCTGATTAGCAACTATCATAAAGACAAATGGGACTTCGATCGTCTGATTGCAGCCATTAGCGACGCCTTGCCCGTTCGTCAAAGAGAGAGTTTGACACTATCTTTATCAAATGTAACACGTGAATGCTTGAAGAGAAAGGCTAAAATTCTCAGAGGTAAGGAAAGCTTACAGTACGTTCAAGGTTGATTTTAATTTAAATTGCCTGCATGTTTAGTTTTTATATTGTTCGCATAGTTTGCAGTACAAAACGAGAGACGACATCTAATACTTTCATGAGATTTTAAATAACCATTTCTCTCCTACAATATTATAATGGTCATCATACTATAATGATCCTTGTCGTTGCATTTACGTTCTGCTCTTGCTGATGGAGTTATGGTTCCTAGCATCGGTATTTTATTGAGAGAATTTTATAGCGTTTTATTTCTCAAATATTGATATATAGTTCAAGCTGTTGCAGTGGCGACCATTTCAGCGGGGGCTGGTGCTATTCCAATCCCTTGCGTGGGAGGTGTTATTGGCACGATACTTATAACAGGAACAATGATGGTCTATTACAGGCAACTAGGCCTCAACAACACAACAGCCGAAGAACGTGCCTTGTTGGATGAAAAATACAGGGGAATTATTGAAAGATATCAGTCCAGATCACCCAATGACGTTGTTTCAATATTATCGACCAAAGCATTAACGGTAATTGTTGGAGTTGAAGAAGTTTCCAAGTATATACCATTAATAGGATTAGCCATCGCAAGCAGCATAGGGTTTGCTTTGACATTGCGTTACCTTTTAAAATGCATAAACGAACTGGAAGAAGCTGCCATAGCTGTCTGGGATAACGCCGCGAAACGATCAATTCAGGATGGTTCAGACACAAGCACAAAGAATTCATCGGCACAGTGAAATGAGTAAATATATTTTACTATTGGAACGATAACGTGGCTGTCGTCATATTGGAGCCGGTATTACAATGGGTGATTCTAACTATGTATGGACTAAATTTAATTTTCATCAGGGCAAGGACGACATGCAGCGCTACAGCTAGTGATTATTGTGAAATGAAAGAAAATTGTGAAATGAAGAAAATATAGCCGTGAGAAAATATAGAGACAATAAAAATCAATGAGTGGAAATTGAATATATTTTCTCAATATATTCAAATTAATATAACGAATTTTATATTTTCTGAGAATATATATATTTTCTCAAACAAATTTGGGCCTTTTGAACTCTCTGTATATATGGTCGCGGTCGCACTAGAATTTAATTGAATTTGAATTTTAATAATTTGCCAATATAACTTTTACAAACAAATACACACAAATAAATGAAAAATAGAATTACATATGGGGAGAAAATCCAAAAGAGAAATCTAAAGGCTTATGAAATCATGGATTTCCTCCCAGAAATAAATTACAGAAAAGTATATAAATAAGCAAATGCAAAATGGCAACACCAATCATTAAACCATCTGACATTAGATCTACAGGGTGTATAAAAAAAAACTGAACAGATTTAAAATTGCTCTCAATTTCGCAAAACAGCTATTTGTATCCGGTTTTTTATATATATAGCCTCTTTGGGTACTTATAATGTAGAATAATGAGAAAAATTTCTCGAACTCAAATTTTGTGAACCAGGGGGGTGTGTCTTTTCCAGCAAACTAAAAATGGCTCGCGCACAAAATTTAAAAGCTGCAATCATATTTTGAGTAACAGATGGAAAATTTGTCGGGATTTTAATACTGTACAAAATTTCAGACAATTTGGTTTAGTTTAAGCCCCTTAACTATTCACGCAAAGTTACAATTTTCCCGAAAAATCAGCTATTTGCATGCTTAATTAATGCATTTGCCTAATTTGCATATGTCAGCAATATGCAAATTAGGTATAAAGGCATAATTAAGCATGCGAATGGCTGACTTTTTAGAACAAAATGAATAGTTAAAGGCTTAAACTAAACCAAATTGTCTGAAATTTTGTACAGTAATGAAAAACCCGACAAATTTTCAATCTATTAACTCAAAATATGATTACAGCTTTTAAATTTTGTGCGCGAGCCATTTTTAGTTTGTTGGAAAAGACACACCCCCCTGGTTCACAAAATTTGAGTTCGAGAAATTTTTTTCATTAATTTACATTATAAGTACCCAAAGAAGCTATATATATAAAAAACCAGATACAAATAGGTGTTTTGCGAAATTGAGAGCAATTTCAAATCTGTTCAGTTTTTTTTTATACACCCTGTATATACGACTACAGTCAATTCTGTACAAGTCTCGTATAATGTAAATATGCACTAACATTTTATCTAAATACTCACTTTCTATATTACCTAAGTTTGTATATATATTTACACTTAGCTAAAAATTTTTGTATGTAGTTTCAATAGGGGAAGAGCCACCTCGTGGATCTTATTGATTAAATCATTATTATTATTATTATTATTATTATTATTATTATTATTATTATTATTATTATTATTATTATTATTATTATTATTATTATTATTATTATTATTATACTAACTATATATTTTGCTGCAGAAACAAAGAATGGACAAATCCAGAACTATTAACCTTTTAAAAATTGTACTATATATTTGTTGTTTGTTATTATTGTTATATTGTGTATGTACAGGTATTATTGATTCAAGTAGACGATTGTGAATTACGTTATATAAGTGAGATTTACAATTGTATGTAACTTTAAAAAATCCATTAATAAAGTTTCCGTTATTATTATTATTATTATTATTATTATTATTATTATTATTATTAGTTTGTATATATATTTACACTTAGCTAAAAATTTTTGTATGTAGTTTCAATAGGGGAAGAGCCACCTCGTGGATCTTATTGATTAAATCATCATTATTATTATTATTATTATTATTATTATTAAAGTTTTCATTATTATTATTATTATTATTATTATTATTATTTATTATTATTATTATTCGATTAGCTCATTAGGAGTTTTCAGCCACCCGTCGCTAAATTTCACCGAAATGCTGAAGGATCTAAAGTTTGATGAACAATGTAGAAAGTACTATGTTCGGAAAATTATTAACATATGTATATCAGGTCCTCGTATTATATATTCTGTAACCGTAACAAAGAATGGGATAACCCACAACTAATGTCATACTAATATTGTTATTATGTAGAGTGTTAATTCAAGTAGACACTGGTAAACTACCTGTAAAGAGAGGTTTATCATTGTAGTGTGTATATATATTATTGAAAGTAATAAAGTTTCCATTATTATTATTATTATTATTATTATTATTATTATTAAATGTAATGCTCGGTAGTTCAACGTATTCGATGAATGGTTAATATTGAATGGATAATATTGATGGTTACAATTCAAATCAATAAACTTTAAGTCTAAAAGTAAAAGTTTGAAAAGAAACAGAATTAACAATTTCGGATCTAAGTGAGTTTTAAAACTTCGGACCTTGATATCGTATTGAAAACTGACAAATATTTGTCCGACACAACGGAAGGTGGAAAGATTTTGCATTTCTAGTTACTATTCAGTATAAAAAAACTATCAAAATTTGCAGGCAACAATCCATGCTTATACGAAAACATAAACTGGCCCATTTGCAATTTTCCAAGGGAAGAATAGTGGTCCTGCAAGCAAGGGCCGGTATTTTGTACTTTCCGCGTTAGCCCACGAACGCAGCATTCTGACTGGCTGTTTGCTGTTGGATTCGATAATTAGACCAGTGATTCATCACAAAGGCTCTCGATCAGCTTAAAATTCGAAAATTAATCACTTTTTACTACCTACGGTAGCCCAAGTCTAGAAATGGGCTTTCTGCTTTCCATGCCGAGAAATTGCAGTTATGCGCATTAGCTGCCACACATTTTATGTGACATTACACCAAGTATATCTCCTGTAGTCTACGTCAATTGTTGTTGTCCTTGAAAATAATGTTGTCCCTGAAGTGTAATTTCTTCAAAGATTTTTACTGCAATTCACTGATGTTTTGGTTCGCCATTGAAGGAGATCGTGCAAATTGTTCTACACTTAATCGAATGAAAACTATAAACGTGAACAATGATATGAAGTTATCAAGATGTCAATCCAGATACATTCTCTAGCCCTATCTCTTTCAAAAACGTTCTTAAACGCAGCTATTTAGAACTTCTACGCTCTGTATATGATGCTGACCTACCCTGTACTTGGTTCTCGGTGCGTGACTGTCCCTGTCACAGAGAACAGCGACCATCTTTGGGGCTATTTTCCGGTGCAGTCGCTTTGCCCGCGCGAGCAGAAAGGACATTCATTTTTGTCCGCCTGAATGCTCGCGGACACGCCATGAAAGTAGAACTAATTTTTCTCATGATAAAATCGCGCGTGCGGGGCGACTGCGGTAGGAAATGGCCTTTAAGGGTCTGTGTGTAACCTGTCTGTGTGTGTAACCTGTCTCTGTGTGTGCTTTGTTGTCTGTGAGCGTGCGTATATGTATACTATAATATAAGTATATAACTGTACATATAATCATATAATTGGACGCCGGAAGGTGCCTTGCATGGGAACTTTTCAAAGAGTCCCGTTCGTACCTTGCCGTTTTGGATCTAGCTTTCAAATGTGTTATATATATACACATTGATCCAAATAAATTTGTTAAATTAAATTAAATATCATAATAACGCTCAACACTACATGGAAACGCTTTCAGCTTTGACTTGTATGAAATGTTTTAGAAACAATTCGCTTTCCCTTACTTTTTATTACTTTTAATCATGAGAAATATATTTAATATAAGTTCTTTGATTCAATACAATTCAGTTTTACACGCATTTTACGTGCTAATTAGCTGACGACAAATTGACAATACATGTAAGAATGCTACTTGAGAAAGACAAATATGCTTTGCCTTAATACATTTCTAACTGTGAAATTCACACGTCGACCACATCAGCAATTTGCTGCTCATTTTTAAATCATGCTTAAATAAATATTTTTGATTGATTAATTGAAGTTAATTAAACTGTCAAGCCTAGCTTGATGCTGCGAATCCGTCTTTGTGGTGGGAGTTCTGACAAGTGTGTGGAAATTGGTAAAACATACATTAGTGCTCATAATTACACCGTAGACACCTTTACCTGATATTTCATCCTATTCACCACTCTAGCCTAGTTAACGTTATGCTATTAACCCATTGAGTCGCAATGCATCCCAGTGCGCCCAGAGGCGTAGCCAGGGCTGGGGCCGGGGGGCCCGCCCCCCCCCCTGGCAAAATTTTGGGGGCTCTGCCGATAAATTGTATTGTATAAAAAAAGGAATCCTTGATTATATAGGTTCATGTTGTCAATAATGCAAAAATTCTGTAGAATATATTGCTTTGCTGGACATCGGTGTGAAACCTAAAATCAGGGCAGTTTTTAACTATATAACTGGGGGGGGCAAAGCCCCCCCAGCCCCCATGGTGACCCCCCCACTCAACCATTTTGGCCCCCCCAGTCAAAGTCCCTTTTCTCTAAAATATAAGCAAAACATGGAATTTAGAAGGGAGGTTTGATATTCTAGTAACTGAAATTTGCTTTGTGAATCTTATGTCCTGTCTTTTATGTTTAATAAATACCTTATTAGATTTTAAACATTTCCCAGGCAGTGGATTGCATTTCCCAGACCCTATATAGAGTTTGAGTTATTGGACAAGTTAGTGACCGCAGGGTGCAACAGGCCCTCAACCAAGTGTTTTATAAGGGGGGGAGGGGGATAATTTTGGCCCCCACCAAAAAAAAAATTGATTTCGAAACTAGAAGTATTTGAAATCATATATACATATAATCAAATATCTGTAATCGATATTTTGATAACATTTCTCGTAATAATCCATCCTGACTCGCGGATATCATAGACTCACAAATCATAATGAACGAATTAATGAAAGGGTCAAACAAAAGACGTATAGAAGACTTTGAAAATGCCATTTCCTATTATTTAGAGACGCAAAATTTTCAAAATTTTTCCGCTCTGTGCCAACCATGGTGGCGCTTCGTGGGAGTCGGGAACACTAAGTTTATCAAGTTGGCTCCCTAAGTGACGGCCAAGTTGTGGTATCTACATAAACATACTATGCAAGTACTTAACTGAAGGTTCAGTCTATCTACAGCATAATGTAATGCTGTATATCCAAAAATCTGTTTCAGAAAATGCAGGGAATTGCAGTCATAGGGGTAGAAAAATATAAAAATTTTCTGGGGGAGAAAACCCCAGACCCTCTCCAGGGCCGTAACAACCGCGGGGGGGGGGGGCTGGGGGGCTGCAGCCCCCCAATAATTTGCTAATAATCATTCATTTTTCAAAATCATGCAGACCTTTTATTATTTAATCTATGACAAACTGCAAAGAGTGAAGATATTACCCATACTTTCCTGCAACTTATCCAATATATCGTTAATTAAATACATGTGATAGCGGACGTGTATTTGGTTTGCTCCTCAATTGAAATATTTTGTAATATAATCCCTCGTTATCTTGTTGCAATTATTATCAAACAAATGGGAGACCTTCAGCTGTGCTGGATGGGAGATTTTAAACAACTGAAGCAGTTTATAAACGAAAATATTCAGTTAAATGCTGTATGGAATTCACCAGGCGGAGACAAGAAAACATACAGTGACGGCCACACTTCAATATCGTGGCGGAAAAACAAGAAAGTTTTGCAAATAGAGGGTAAAGAGAAGGACCTGATTAAATCTAAGTTATGTTCAGTGTTATGCAATGTACATTCTCATATCCTGGCAAAGGAATCCGTTGCTACAGACGAGGGAAGCGGAAATTCCTCCCTGACATTATCTGGGCTGTCTGCTGATATGTAAGGCATAAAACTCGATACCGTGATTTGTGAAAGAGAGATTGAAACCAACAGACATACTATTAGAAATCTCGAAGACCGCCTTAATAAAGTAAGTGGCAACTTCGAAGAAGTTAGTAATAAACTTGATAATATGAAAGAACTATATTTTCCACATAACCAACATGTGTCTCAATCTGCCCCATTATTTGAATATTCTAATTTGCTGGAAAAAGATCCCCCACGGCCGAAAACTCTTTGTTATGATAAATCGACCAGCACAAGAGATTTAATCGTAAACAATCAGAATCAGATTACTGTTGACGAATTACATCTTTCCCCAACGGGTTTAGCACCCATGTCAACATATACAAGCGTGAATAGTACGTGTGCAGTACAAATATTAAAACCGTCGAAGCATGCAATTGTAAACCACAGTGAAAAACAGATTAATCAGTCATCTGCGACTAATACCTTTGTTTCGAATTTAATCCCAAGAACAGTTACTAATTCAACTTATTCAAATGAATTTAAAAGAAGACAGAACTTCTGTTTTAACTTATTAAACAAGGGCGGCCCGACTGAAGAAGGCTGCCACAACAACAATAATAATCCACCTCGAGTGCAATGTAAGGATCTGCATAAACAAGACATTAACCAAGCTATCCCCACACGCATTGCCTACCGTATTCCATCTAAGGTTAGAGCAAATCGTCAACAGGGTTTTCGGCCGAGTTATGCACGCCGACGGGCAGACTGGATACAGCACCTGGATTTGGTGCACCGTATACTGAATCCTTTAATGGAAATCGCAACCCCTGTATGGCCACAACATCCTACCTACCCCCCTTTACCACGATCACAACCCCAGGGTTCCCTGTCACCAAAACGCTCGAGATAACTCCAACATCTTATAATATCCCTGTGGTTCAACGAAATCGCAAAAATTTTGTTAGAGATCCTGTTAAGTCGAAATGCCGTAGCCACGTAAAGTTTAATTGTATTGAAATTAACACGCACCAAGTAAAGAAATGCCCTCTCCCTTCCCTCCTTGTGTCAAATGTCTGTCACATCACAAATAAGGTGACTGAACTATCTGCTGTTATTTCCAATAACAAATCAACAATAAATTTGATAGTAGAATCATGGTTAACAGACGACGTTCCCAATAGCTTTATAAATATTGGCGACAACTATCTTATTTTTCGTCTTGATCGACCAACACCGAGGGGTGGAGTTCTAGCGGGGTGGAGTTCTAGCGTACATCGATAAATCGGTACCAGTATCTCGTCTGCCAAATCTTGAAGAAGCTGGAAAAGAGGTACTTTGGCTGCTCCTTAAACTCCACCGCTCACCGAGACCCTTTAGTGCTATCATTGTGGTCACCGTTTATTATCCACCGGGGCAGTCTGTTGAGAAAGAACATGAAATGATAAGCTACCTCACAGATGGTCTGGACAAGGTCCTTCATTCTCGTCCTTCGACAGGAATAATTATCGCTGGGGATTTTAACAAATTGAATTTAAGACGCCTATGTAACCGCTTTAACCTAAAAAAAATGGTTTCGACCCCCACAAGAGGTAATAACATCCTAGACCAGATTTTGACCAACATGGCTGACCTCTATTTACCTGCCAAACATCTACCTCCCTTGGGTCGTTCTGACCACCAATGTTTGCTGTTATCCCCCCAAAATGTCAACAAACTTCCCCCTACTTCCAAAAAAGTTAGACTACATAAACCCGAAAACAAACAAACATTGAGTAGAACTGTTGCCCTCCAAAACTGGGACAATGTTTTAATGGCAACAGATGTGGATGATAAAGTCGAAGCATTTAATAGAACGATACTCTCTTTGCTAGACAAGGCTATGCCAGAAGTGACAATCCGAATGCATACATCAGATAAACCTTGGATTACCCCAAAAATAAAGGCACAGATTAAAGCTAGGCAAAAGGCTTACTGCCGTGGTGATAAACCCAAGTACGACCAATTATGTAAAAAGGTCTCAAAGTTAATTCGGAATGCAAAACAATCGTTTTATCATACCGAAGGGAGAGATCTTCGTCAAAAAGATCCTGCAAAATGGTATAAAACTGTCTATACTCTTTTGGGTGCTGAAACGAATCATAACTCTTTACAAACTCCATCTAATGAAGATCTGTCAAAGGTTGCTGAAAACCTACAAACTGCTTTTACAAACCCATGGAAAGATATCAATGTTGACCTCCCGGACATAAATGAAGTTAATCACTTACTTAAGGATACGTCACCACCGCTACCTTCCTTAGGGCAAGTACGTCCTGCCTAAAGCACCTTAACCCAAAGAAAGCAACAGGGATAGATAAAATCCCTGCCTGGTTTTTAAAGCACTACTGTGATGATCTTACGCCAGTGATACATAGTATCGTAACAGGCAGCATTACCCAATCCAAGTATCCTACTGCGTACAAGCATGCAATTGTAACTCCGGTACCAAAGATACATCAACCCAAAGATATAAACAACGATTTCAGGCAAATTTCTGTGCTTCCTCATCTAGCTAAAATGATAGAGAAAATCCAGTTGGAACTCAACTCTCATGATTGGCAATAAAGGACAACCAACATGCTTTCGTTAAAAATCGATCTACTGTTTCAGCCCTGATCTCGATGACCCAGAAGTGGTTTGACGTAACAGATAACTCCAATATTGGAAGAAAAGGGGTCCATACTACGTTCTTGGACTTCAAAAAAGCATTCGACCTTGTCGACCATAGAATTCTATTAATAAAATTAGCGGAAATGAATGTATCGAAGGCCTTCTGGTCATGGGTGAAGTGTTTCCTTACAGAGCGGACTCAACATGTGAATTTACATGGTGTTATATCTTCAAGCGCCCCCTGTCCAGCTGGAGTCCCGCAAGGCTCCGTTATTTCTCCAACACTGTTCAATATTCATATCAATGATTTGGAAAACACGTTAACAAACAACCTTACAAACACGCACAAGTATGCAGACGACTGCACTCTTGATGAGGTCGTTGCAAACGGAGCCCTTTCAAATATGCAGGAATCGACTAATCAAGTGATGAATTGGGCCAATGATAATAAAATGATGGTGAACCCCAAAAAAACTAAGGACATGTGGATCAGTTTTTCCCAATCCTCTTCTGAACCCCCACCTATACAAACGGATGGAATTGAAATAGAAAGAGTAAACTCCTTCAAACTTCTCGGTGTATGGGTGCAAAATGACTTAAAGTGGAATACCCATGTTTGTAAAATAACAAAAAGAGCAAATAAGCTATTATTCCTTCTCAGAGAGTGCAGGAAATCCTTCCTACCACCCGAGATTGGTTTATTAACATATACGTCGAAGATCCGGCCAATACTTGAATACGCCTCTCCAGTTTGGGGCGGAATCCCTAAATATCTTGAAGCAGAAATTGAACGTGTTCAACAAAGAAGCTTGAGAATCCTAGGACTTGAGAAAGATACCCTCCCTACACTAAAAGAAAGAAGGGACAAGGCAACATGCAACGAGCTGAAAAGGATCGTGGAAGTCCCAAAAAACCCATGTAATCGTTTCCTATCTGGTAATAAGAATCACACTTACGAACTGAGAAGGACCAGAGACAGCACTCCAAGACAGCTCTCAAAAACACACAGGCATAGTACGTCTTTTATCCCAAGGGCGTGTAGATTAACCAACTCATGAAATTAGATCATTGTACATATGTATATAAAAACTTCTTAAACTTTCTAATTTTTACATTCTCATAGGTTATACATGTATTTTAGTATATATTTTTAACTTGTAAATCCATTGTATTTCTATATGCCAAAGATGGATATTTAACAATAAAATTAAAATTTAAAATATGTATATGTATATATATATATATATATATATATATATATATATATATATATATATATATATATATATATATATATATATGCTAATATTATATATATATTATTATATATATATTAATATATATATATTAATATATATTAATATATATATATATATATATTAATATATATATATATATATATTAATATATATATATATATATATATTAATATATATATATATATATATATTAATATATATATATATATATATATATATATATATATATATATATATATATATAGTTTTTCATTTTACCTCAAAAAACCACAACATGCAGTCTGTTTCATCCGTATAGGAATCATCAGGTGGTGAATAATTTCAAAATTGTAGGTTGCTTTTATGCTGTCGAAAGAATGTGCGGAATGCGTGTAGGCGAAACAATGCTTAGGTGAAACAATGCATGCTTGGGTCATTAGGTTTTGTTAACGACCTTGTTTACTCGAAACCGGTTTTTGTGACGACATTTGCCGAAAATTTCGCTCCTTTTATTGAGTAAATTGTCTTTGTTTATGTCTTTCAAAATGCAATATTTTTCTTCCAAACATAAATTGCAGCGTTTTGATCCCCCTGTGTACGAAATAGCGTGTTTTAAAATTGACCATTTGATGGTATAATCCTGATTGTTTTCTTTTAATTTCCAAATATGTTTCGAAAGTTCCGTTTTGTTTGAGTCTTTTTTATGACGAAAAGATGAAGTGTAGTTAGCGTAACGTTCCTTAAATGTAGTCGCTGTCATACCAATGTAGTGTTTAGTGTCGTTCGTGTTGTTCGTTGTGACTGTTGCTTTGTAAATAATGTTGTTGGTCATGCATTGTTTCGGTAGTGGGCAAGTGTTTTGTTGTCGCAGTTACAGTTGTCAGTTTCCGTATTCTGTGATTGACTGTTCCTAATTATATGTGCGTTGTGTTTGGTGATTATCGACTTAACGTTGTTCATGCAACTGTAGCTTACTTTTAAAGTGTTTCTGTTAAAAATCTTGTGTAGTTTGTGCTGTAGCGGGAAGTGTTTGTCAATTAAAC